GGGTGGTTTCTCTTCTCTCATAAGATCTTTAGTTCTCCCTGTAAGTTTATCAGCCTCGACACACAGAGAGGACACACCAGAGAGTTCTGAGGAAATGGTGGAGGCCGGAAGTGCAGGCTTAGGTGGCTGGTTGACCTTGTGCTTTTTCTGCCGACTTGTCCTTCACACACACACACACACACACACACACTCTCTCTCGCACGCACGCACTTCAAAGGGGCTTGCAGTCAGAAACTCTAGGACAAAATATGCTTTTCAAAAGCTACATAGTCTACGAGGGGGAGGATTTTAACCGGCCTCCCAGATACAGTATCAGAATCACTTAGGGGTTTTTTTTTTCTTCTCCTAATTTATGGCCATTCACTGACCCCCTCCTCCGAACACGTGCGGTCCCCCCATGTGGATAAGCACCCACTCCTTGTGGAGAGGACTGGGGCACGTGTGACAGGATTTCTACAGAACGACCAGTCCCAGGCACTGGGGCTTACATCCCATCCACGCAGGTCCCAGGACTCCCCGCCACGGCGGAAACCAGGAGGTGCGGTCCCTCCCGGCTCTGCCACCTCAAGGCCAGGGCACCCCAGCACTGCTCAGCCAGTACCAGCATTTGGGATGTTGGGAGGGCCTGGGAGACAACAGGGTGCGAGCGGGTTGAGGATGCAAAGTGGGCACAGGACAGGGTCTGGAGACTGAATGGCAACCAGTGGCAAGTAAATGATGCCCTCCCTGATTTATGAAAAAAGAAGCTCCTCTTTCTTGCTGTAGAAAGAGAGAGCACATGGGAATTAAGAACCCGGTGACTTGGAGGTAAGCTGGCTACTCTCTGAGAAGTTTGAAAACATGTATCGAGGTAGAATCATCCTACCTTTGTGAAAGGGAGGTGGCCGTTTTCTTTCTAGAAGGGACTAGAAGCTCTGGGGTTTTCTGACTTCCTTGCTCTGTTTCCTTCTGACTTATTCTACTGAAGTTATGTGGGTTATGGAAGAGAAAGAGGACAGAGACGCCACCACTTAGAACAGGTTGTGATAATGGAGGGGAGTAGGATGTAGGCGCCTACACAGTGAAGTGTGACCAAGCCAGTTAGAATCCTTCAAGGGCTAGGCATTGCCTGTTGTCAAGATGTCACACCCTATTTTCAAAGGCAATTTCATGAGCTTTTCAGGACTTAAAATAACAAAACAAATAATTACACTAATGCCTACACAGACCTGTTGGGGTTGTTTGATATCCCTGTAATATTTTAAGTTCTTTGCATAATCGGATTAAGCAACATGAGCATGTAACTGCAGCGCTAAAGGCCACAGTCAGACTAGGGGAGACCAGCATTAGCAAACAGATTAATTCCTGGGCAAACTAGAGAGAATGGAGTTAAGGCTTTGATCCAAGGCTTATTATTTTCAAACCAACTCCCAGTTACGTGGAAGATGGATCTCTTGGAACGAATCACGGAAACCAGGGTATACATTGCACCCCCTTCATCGTCGCCAAGTGTCCCACCGAAGAAAACATGCTGTTGAAACTGCTGACCTGCCAAGTGAGAAAACACATTGATCGAGTGTGGGGAGAACCGACACTCCAGTTTGGAAGAATCTGCCATGGTTTCCTTTGGGTAAATGACTTGAGCACCTGTGAGCAGGGGCTGCCCTTCCTGCACCACGAAATGGCTGTTACGTCTATCGATCACGCAGAAGTGCCACGAGGCTTAATTTATTAGTTCATGTTCGTGTTACGTCCTGCAGCTCTCAGGCAGAAGGCCCGATAGAAACACAAAGCAGATGTGTATTATCTAAACATCTGCCTCCTGCAATGGCTCTCCGGGAAGTGTTCATTGCTTTAGCACAAATGATTCCTCCAGAAGTGGCTGCTTTTGTCCAGGTCTTTCTTGGCCTATGAATCACTTCCCCTCCTTTCAGTACAGACTCTCCGGGCAGATTGTACTGCGGGGCTGTGCTGTCCATCTTGTCCCTGGAAAGGTCGCTGTGGATGCTGCACCTCTGGGAGTGAGCACTGCGGTTACTTACAGGTCTGTCCCTTTCCTCACCAGTCTGCCCTCTTCTCTCTCTACTCCCCAAAGCTGTTATAAGTTGGCTTTTCTTCGACCCAAGGGCTTGGTGTTTTCCAATTAGGCAGTAAAAACAAGAGAAATCACTTAAAAGGTTATTGAAATAAAAAGGAGAAAATGCAAAAAAAAAAAGAGGACTGGTCCAAGTTTGTTCAAACTTATTTTGATGACATTAAACTACCTGATGAATGGTTGAAGGTTATATTGAAGATGATTTTTGCTACTCTTAATGCTGTCCATAATTTTGTTAAAACTCTGGCAAGTACCTGAGAGCACACGGACATTTATTCCTACAGAAATTCCACAGTTCCAATATGTATCTGCTGGGACTTAGGTAATTTATTTTCTAAATACAAATAAAGAAAATGAGTAACAAATTGTCAACATATTGTTTCCTATCTTTTCACTTGCACTTCAATTGTGAGAGTGTATTTTTTCTTTGCTTACTAGTCCTCAGAGCCCTTGCTGGTGGTTATGGGAGTGTCTTAACCGTACTCAGGATGTTTAATCAGGTGTTGTGAGATGCCTTTTCTGACATAACTGAATTCCAGGACCTTTTGTGTCTGGCTTCTTTCACTTAGCGTGTTTCCAAGTCCATGAATGTTGTAATACTATATATCAGTTCATTAATTTTCATAGCCACACAATATTCTATTGTATAGATACATGGCATTTTATCTATCCATTCATTAGTTGATGGACTTTTGGGTCATTTCTACTTTTTGGTAACTATACTGTTATGAACATTCATGGGTAAGTTTTGTGTCAACATAATTTTAATTCTTTTGGGTATATACCTGGGAGTGAAAATGCTGTCACATGGTAGCTGTCTATTTTACCTTTTGCGGAACTGCCAATCTGCATGTTCCAAAGCCATTGTACAGTTTTATAATCCCACCCACAGTGTAAGGTTCTAATCTTTTGACAAATTGCCAATACTCGTTACTTTTTTATTTTAGCCATCATAGTGGCTATAAAGTGATAACTCATGGTTTGTAGTTCCCTTGTGGCTAACGATATTGAATCTTTTTATGTGCTTATTAGTCATTTGCATATTTTCTTTGGAAAAATATCCAAATGTTTTCATCATTTTTAAACTGGGCTTTTCATTGATGAGTTATGAATTCTTCACATATTTTGGATACAACTCCCTTATCAGGCATATGATTGACAAATACCTCCCATTTTGTGGATGTCTTTTTGTGTCCTTTGATGCACAAAACATTTCAATTTTGATGAACTCAAGTTTATCTTTTTCTTTTATTGGTTGTAGGTTTTGGTGTTGTATTTAAGAAATCGACTAACCCAAGGTCACAAAGATTTACTCTGTTTTCTTCTAAGAATTCTGCAGTGTTTGCCCTTTGATACAGTGTGAGTTAATTTTTGTATACTGTGTAAGGTGGGTGTCCAACTTCATGCTTTTGCATGTGGATATTTAGTTGTCCCAACTCCATTTGTAGAACACTGCTCTTTCCCCATGAATACTGTACCCTTGTGAATGGGATGCGTCTTCTTACAATTATAACTATCTTCATCCATAATAACACATCTTACAATTCATGGCATGACATGAAACAATAGCCCACATAAATGTGCATTTTCTTTTGGTGGAAGTGACAAATCTGTCTCAACAATACTAAGATTCTTTCAGTATCAACGTGATGGAAAAAAATTACCATAAATACATATATTTTCTTATGGAAGACATCAGTTTAAGGCCTGAAGGCTTACACATAATCCTTATGTCGTTAAACGTGAATGAAGATTTTCACAAAAGTAGCAATATAACTTTAATGGTCAGAAAGAAAATCCATTAATCCTACAAGCCAGGTTAAGATCTCCTAGAAGTTAGAGTTATTTGACAGAGATGTAATGTCACAAGAAATAGTAATATAAGCACCGATGAAGTTTTTTTTCCGTAAGAAAATTAAGGGGGTTTTGAGTATCCAGATTTTAATATACCCGCACTGTGTGGAATATAAAACAATAATAAGCTTAAATACAAGAATCAAGTCTGCTTTTGTATTAGCTTCCTAGTGAATGTCCTGATGAACCCAGGATGGCCACAGAGTCTGAAGACAACCACTCAGAAACATACTGAGATCCGTTTAATAGTTTTTGAAGGTTTTTCCTGTAAAATGGCTTGTATTTCCACAGGTACAATAGTGAAGAAATAAACTTTTCAATTTGACATGAAATATAAAAGAACAGTTTTACAAATATAGCCATAAAATTTAACTGCTCATAACACTATACATGGTAAATATGACCATCCCTTAACTAGACTATTTAATACAGGGAAGCAATCTGTCATCTCCACTAAAAAACAAAACAAAACAAAAACCCCAGCTTCCCTTTCATTGAGTTTACTTTGTTTAGAAAGTTAAATAGAACTGGAAAAATATTTGCTTTTCCCTATCTTCCTCTAGGAATTGTTCATGAGGGCTAAAATTTACTTGAGAGGATGTAAGTTTTATAAAAAAGAAATACTGAGAAGTCTTGTTGTACTGCTTCAATCATTCTTACACTCTTTTCAAAAGACCCTAATGTTTCCTCATTGGCCTTTGACTGGGTCATAAAGAAGCGATCACAGGGTGGCTCCATTTCCAGCACCAATGACGGACCTTCATACCTTCAGCCCATGGAGGCTGGACTGTGGGGATGTAAGGTTGACCGGCAAGGGAATGGAGCTGGACCCGGCTTAAAATCAAAGTTCTGTGGTTTGTCTATCAGAAATTCCACTGTCACAAGGCAGGATCACTCGAATATAGCTAGGTGTTAGCCGGCATTAACAATGGTGTGATCATAACCCTTTCATGCAAGTCCAGGGCACAGAATGGCTTTTAAAAACAAAAGAAGTCGATCAAAATCATAGAACGGCAGGTGACAATTCTGTGACCTGTGTCACACTTAAATCAAGACAGGGGAAACGTTTCCCTTACACTCTCAAAAGTGCCCCAACAACAATACTGAGCTCCCACATCACAGGAGTTGGAGTTTTTCTATGTAAGCAAAAACAAAGCGCTGAAGCTTTATGAAGCACTCTCCTCAACTCTCCTGATACAGTATATGGAATAACTTAAAAACTATTTCCCTAATGATACTGGAAATAAATTCTACTACAATCATGTGTATGCCAGTTCCTGGCATATTTCTGCATCCAGATTCATTAGTCTCCTTAATGGAGCCCATCGTTTTTCCAATGGCTTTCTCCTTTCTCTAAACCCTAACCCTGAAATTCTATAACCAGTTATATCACGTGGCTTCCCTGAGGCACAAAGGTACCAAACTCTATAATTAACTATCGAGGAATGATAAATATGCTCTATTTATATTAAAAGATTTTAATTCTTTGGGGCCACAGTGGGAAAAACCCAGAAAGCTTAATACTCTGCAGTGTGAACTGTAGCCCTTTTTGCAAAAAGCATAACCAAATAAGGAAAATGTTAAGAGTTGCAGCATGCATGACCCGGCAGCACCGATTATTAATAAAAAAATTCCGGACTAGAAAAATATTGTGTTGTAACCCCATTCACTCTGAATCTTTTTTTTGGGGGGGGGGGTAGTAAACAACTGAAAAAAAAAACCAATGGGAATACATCACTGGGGCCAAACTTCTGGAAACCTATTCACAAGAGGCATTTCGGTCAGACCGAGATGGGGATAATTGGTCAGTAACTTCCTATGAATGCACATAGGGGAGTGAGACTCACCCTTCAGTGTGGTGGCAAGCAAAACATAAAAACAGAAGTGACCTCTGAGAGGTGACCTATTCTGAACTAGACTACTCTGCTTGGGTGATTAGAGTTCTTTATTCCTACAAACTGACACTCTCAACTCTGAGAAACAAATCTCATTAGCCAAGGTCATAAGAGGATCTGACTAAACGTGGCCAAGATGAACATTGTTTCCTTTTCGAGGAGGATTGCCCCCGCACGGTGGTGTCTTAGGCAGGTGGGAGCGACCTCACGTGGAGCTGCAAGGACAAGATGTAGCTAGCGCTTTCCAAGAGTTTGAAATTTATTCCCCAAATTTTAACTTCTATTTAGCTGAGTTTGCTAAAAGTCAAACTTTTCAGGTTGGAAGATAATTTTGTTTTGAGGCACATGTTGTATGCAGAACTACCAGACTCCTATATAGTTCTTGAAAATTATATCAGAGCACAACTTTCTGGAAAAAATAGTTTTTTTTGAGAGGTAAAATCCAGCCTTTCTGGATGCTAGACCATTTACCTTACAAAATACTTTTAGGGTATCAAGAGTCCTCAAACCACCTTCCTCTATAGTAAGAAAAAGGAGTGTGTGCCTCCTTTACCATTTTGTGAAGCCCAGAGAATCACAGATGGAAAGGACACACTCTATCAGTGAAAGCTAATCACTGGAGACTGGCTAAATTAAGAGGCATTTGATGTATTAGTTAGGCAACTCCATTGCTTTCTTTTCTGTCTGCAGGTAGAGCACGCTGCATAGAACAGGGGAAGCAGTCAGTAAGAGGACTGTGGTTCGATTCTCACATCACTTAAAACCTACCAAAAAAAAAAGACCACATCTCATCCTACACAATAGTCTCCATGGGAAAGTAAAGCTATTTTATAACAGAGGCTGAACTTCTTATATATTAAGTCAAATTAAGCAGCAGCATTCAGGAGTAATATAGCTTACCACTTTAAGGAAAAGGACATTCAAAAATGGGTCAGAACAATTGAAAATAGGCAAAATATTTGCCAGTAGGCAAAACAAGAAAAAACCAATTCAAGTACAGATATAGTATATTAGAACCATATAAATTAGATCTATCTTTACAAAGGTTAAAAAATGTAGTACGGATGTGCAGTGGTCAATTTAAGAGGATGTTAGCTTAAATAAATACTTGTCCCGTGTGGCAGGGATCCACCATCTCAGCCAGCTCTGTCCTGTAGGATTTCCATTCTGGGACCAGTGATGCTCCTGGTACCACACAGAACGGGCACCCACGGATTATTATTCCAAGTGAGAGGGAAAAAACAGAGAGGGTTGGAGGGGCTCATCTGAAATTTCGATTTAATTATTCCTCAGTAAACACTCATTTGCTCTCTTGAAATCAGGAATTTCAAATTATCTCTGCAGATGTACCACTTGGTGTTGTGTATATCTAATGATCACATTTAAATGTAGCTTGATTTGCAAACATTTTCAAAACTTCCAGGGCTCTGTAAGCTGCGAGGGAAGGTGACAGATGGCGGAGAGGGAGTAGATAAAAACGCCCGTGTCATTGTGACGTGTTGCTCTTAGGCTCACAGAATTTTGGCTTTCTTTAGGTAGGAAAAAAAAAAGTATGAAACCTCAACGAGTGGTTTTAAAAAGTAAAATCTCGCTTTTAATCGCTTAAATCTTAAAACAATTCGGTAAGCAAATAAACTTGGTATTATAGTACCTCGGCCATGTTTACTGCTGCAATAATCACCCTCAGTGAATGGATTTTTAAAAGTTGCTACATTTTAATAAACTGAACATTTCTGGCCATGCACGATGAGTATTGGGGGCAAACTATATTAGAAATAACAAAAGGCAAAAAGTTACGGAAAGTTCTTTGTTTGAAATGCCAAGGTATTTGATGAATGTGTGTATAAAATAATTAAATTCCACCAAAGTTAAAAAGAAAACAGGACAACATATGAACATTCTCTCCCCCAAAAGTAAGAAAAATCAGAAAAAAGGCCCAGATTTCAAAACCACCACCTCTGCCTAAGGTCTCCTGACCATCAATGACATTTTACAGAACCACCCTTGGGATCTGGTCCGAGTCTAGCCTGTTGTATCAAGTATTTCCAGACATCGTATGTCTTCCAGGACAACTACACCCTGCAGCACGGACCGCGGCATATTACGAGCCAACAACTTTTGAATAAATTTCTTCATTTGTAAAATATGATTTAAAGTTTTATCCAAGGCTACAAAGGGGGAGAAAGACTTGTTTAAAACCCCAAGGTTGAAAGAAAAGCATGGCGCTTCGGTCCAATCATTACAGAGATCCTGTGGTTCACCAGGCCGGTGACCAGGGCGATGCCGCTGTTTGGAGCACGCCACACACCCCTGGCCTCCAACTCCTCCCAGCCTCGGGCCCCTCCCTTAACAAAACAACACTATAAAAAGGTAAAATCGAGAGTTAGTGGCAAAAATCTTCACAGTAACTTGTTAATAAAGTCGTAGATGGCTGCCAAGGGCATCAGTCGACTGGACCCTGGAAAATTAATTTGATGCAGTTCTGCTCCCCGGCCAGCTGCGTGGCGCAGAAGGGGCAGGCGGCGTGGAACGCGTGGGTGCCGTGCGGCAGCGGGATCTGCGCCCAGTACTTGGCGGACTTCTCCGAGCACACGTGTCCGCACGGGGTGAAGGCGTGTGTCGGCGGCCCCGCGTCCACGTAAA